TCGGCTGTTGAATGGCAAAGCCGTTAGATAGCCGAACATTCATCACTCAGTTTTTACAATTCGTCTGACCAGCCTTACAACCAGCCTGGACGATCAAATTTAATGAAGTTATCCATAATGTGAACACATCTCAGATATAACTCACTTTGGTCTTTCGTGTATGTGGAATGGTTCAAATTTGTAAGAGATGCAAAAAAAGCTGAAATAATCGGGTAAATGAGTTTGAGCATTCATAAGCCTAATCAACAGAATTAAAAGTTTAAACATGTTTTGACCCACATAACTGAGTTGAGATGTGCTCAGCTTTTGCCATTCATTCATTAAAGCGTCTGTCGACTCTGCCCATCTATTCATACGCCCCACTGTCTCTAGTGCTCTACTCATCCTTCTCTTCAGTTTTCAATATGCCTATCTATTATCTGGCAACATTTCGTCAGCACTGAGCCCTCGGTCCACACTCAACAGTAGAATATGCGGCTGGGCATGGATACGTGTGTGTGTGTGGGAGTTTGTGTAGATGGACGCTTGTAAGCGGAGCTCAATAAAATGCCAACACATAAACCTCCTTCATTACTGGCAAATGCAACTTCCGAATCGAAGACCTCCCATTTATATATATATATTTATTTATTTATTTATTTATTCATATGTATATGTATATGTATATATATAGGGCTTAAAGGCAGACGCCAGATGCAAACTTGTCTTCCCCTCGCCAAGCTCGTCAGGATGAGCATCCTTGCTCTTCTTCTTTTTCTACTTCATCTGGCCCGGTTTCCCGCAGTACAGGCCACGCCAACCTCTGCCTTCCGCGCCCATTTAGCCGAGAGGTCAGTCGTGCATCATATTCTCGAAGTGACCTACCGTGGTTACCGGTACATCCACATCCAGAACCTGACATTACCCTTCCAGGCTGCTCGCTCTTATTGTCAATTCGGCTTCCCGGATGAGATGCAGTTGGCCTCTGTGGCCTCTGAGGCGGAGTGGGTGAGTTGCAGTTTTCTTGCCGTTTCTTATAGGTTCCGCTGTATCTGCAGCACCATTTCATTCTAGTTCTGACTTGGCGGGTTTATGCCAGGAAATCTATACGACACTTCCTGCCTCGCTGAAGCGCTAGGACAGTTGGTTAAGGTGACTTGAGGATCGAATCTGTAAATATTAAGTGGAATTCAAAGGCATCCTAAGTCGTTAGAAGGTCTTGATCAACTTAGGCTTACTAAGTTCTTATCTCGAAGGCTGCTCGTCGAGAACACGGACGAGTTTGCCTGACTCCGCAAGTTGCTACGTACCGAGTGGATGGATCTTGAGAGTACCAGTTTATCCTGAAGTTGATGTGGGACTGAGGTAAGGATGTCATTCAATTTCACCTATTCTCGCATCACAAAGTGTGGACTTGTTTCGACTTCAGTCGGATTCCTTCCAACATCAACGCGATTCATAACTCGATCATAAGTGTCAGGCAGCAATGTTAAAACTCGGCCCCACAACTACGGGTGCTAGGACGGGGCAATTTTAAACCGGTACTTGTCGAGCGTACTTCTATTTTGTGTGATGATAGGACTCGAAGATATTGGTCCACTCTTCATGGTCCAGATTAGGCTGAAAGCAGGCCTACTTTTTGTCCGCATCGTTAGAGCAGGCCAGCATTTTTTAAGAATGGTCAACAAGACTTATCGAAATGCCTTACATTTTGTTCAGGTATTAAGTGGTCTGGTTTGTTCATACCATACGCAAATGAGGCTGCATGTGCTTGTGTATGCTTATGTTCCTTGGTATAGTTGTATTTGCCAAATTGGCAAATAAGCGGATGAGGCCCCAAAAATTAAGGAAAAGCATGGTGTGGCGAAATACGATAGGGACTGATGGATGGAAGATCCGTAAGATCCCCTCCTTCAGGCTGAACTGCAATTCCGACTTTGCTGGCACCGCCGAGGCAATCGGAGTAATGCGCACGCAAGTCATCGTTCCAAGTATCGTGTCGTCAATGGCGATGAATCTTAGATGCTTTTATTAAGAAAATTAGGGTTTATAAGAATCTCTCTGCTTATAATTGAGCTTCCATGTCGAGAAAAAGTCTGTGCTGGCGTATGTCCGAATTTAGACATTTGGAAGGGATAATTAAGATGTGGAAAGGAGGGTGTCGGTCGTCAAACCTTACTGACCGATGACTAATGTTATTATTATTATTATTATTATTATTTTGCGCATCATTCATTGATTCATTAATTTTTTTATTTGAATAATCCCTCCAATTACTTAGTGGAGCAGACTGCGCATACTTTCACTCGAGACGGAAACTCAATTATAAACTAAGATTATTCTAAACCGAAATTTTCTCAGCATCTATTTGTATCATCATACATCGTACATCATTTTGGTCGACAGCAGCGCTATGTATGAGTAGAGCATCAGTGCGTACGGCCTAGTCGGTCTCCAATTGCCTTGGTGGTGCTGGTAGGCCGAGGAGAGGCCGGGATTCTACTTCAACCTAAACAAGAAGAGCTGATGGGAAACAGAGCCTGAATCAATCGGTCCTTATTACAGTTCCTCGATCCTGCCAGCATCTTTCCCCTCTCGATTGGCCAGTAGTAACAGATGCATTTGACGGATCGGAGGATGCAGGTTTGAGTCTGACGCTGAATTGGAGTGTATTTTCGTTTGACGCCCATCCTACTTTTGATCCGGTCTCGTTTCTGGAGCCCGGTACCTTTAGACTGTCCTCTTCTGCCACCGTCATATACCCGTTACTAGGCAGACTACCAGACACCGATGCTAGCACCGGCAATGGGAAGGGCCAACCATAGTACTTATATGCGTCACATATACCCCGTAGGTTGCTGAGGGACTGATAGTTGTTGTGTCGATTCTTGTCAACAATGTGGCCAGAGCACTTATTCAACAGGTACTGGCAGCTTCAAAGCATACACGATCAGAATGCAATCATCTGCGTCACGATCGTGGCAGTTCTCCTCTTTCCCGATGCCTCCACTCTTCGTTCGGCGCCTGGCAAGCTACCGGAGTTGCTGGGCAAACCTTAAATTGGCGTTCAAACATTTTATTTCTCTCCCTCCCCCCTCCATACTGTTCGCCGGTTCGATAGAGCATGCTGTCGCGAGACTTCGCTTCTCCCATCAGTGGCGGTGGCGACGGCGACGACGGCAGACTCTTCTGGCTCGGGGGTCAGGTCAGTCGGGCCGGGGGCGCCGTGTTCACGGCGCACTGGTTGGACGGCACTCGGTACGACTACAACCGACTGTCCGCGGACCAGCTGACCGGTCTTCTGTCCGCCTGGCCGCTCGGCCGGACCGGCTGTCTGACGGGCCGCTTGGGTGCCGTGACGCCGGAGGCCGGCGAGCAGAAAACGGGTGACGTGGCGACCGGTTCGGCCACGGGCAACTGGTCCGTGGAGCCGGAGCCCTGCGCCACGGCCAGGCCGTTCGTGTGCAAGGCGGCGCGGGGCTCGCACTCGGCGTCCACTCGCGGCCGCCACAGCTTCGTCGGTCAGCCGCCACGGGCCGCGGCGGCGCTCGCGCCTTCCTGGCCTTTGGTACCGTCGCACCGCCGGTACCAGCCCTCGTTGCCCGGCGCCGACGTTGCGCCCGAGCTGTCGGCCATCTTCGGCGCGCTCACCTACAGCTCCCTGATCGGCCATCTGCTCGAGGACCCCTTCAGCCTGAATCGTTGGCCCGGCGGCCTCGCGACCAAGCACCCGCTCGACGCCTCTTCGCGCCGCCACCCCCTGCCCCACCGCTTGCCCGAGGCCCGACCGACGCGAGTCCCGGCCGAGCCGCCGACCCAGGCCGAAGCGGCTCGTACTAGTCCCGTCGGCCCGCCGCCGACGCCAATGACGCCGACGCCCACTGGCCCGCCTCAACAGTCGATCAGCCGGTGGCCGGGGACGCCGGCCAACCGCGACTCGGACCAGGGCGTCTCAGGCACGCCGGCGGCCTTGGAGGCCACGCCGCCGAATCCGAGGCAACCGGGCGTGGCCGGCCTGTTGATTTCGGTCGGCCAGCAGCCAAAGCCAGAAGCGCTGTCGCCAGCTGACAGCGTCACTACCACCGAGGCTCCTAGCACCGTGGGTGTCGCGACGGGCACCACTTCGAGTCCCGGTCTGACGAGCTTGGAGAAGCGAGCCCTTTCCGCCCGGCTCAGGAGGTCCTCTCCGCTCTGGTCGTCTGAGGACGAACCCTCCTGGACGGACTTCCCCGGTCTCTTCGAGCCCGAACCAACGGCGTGGCCGGACTCCAAGACGATTGACTCGCCTTGGCTCGCACTCGACAGCCCCGGGGCGCCTGGCGCCCGCCTCTACTCCTCCTTCAGACCGTCCGGTGGGGAGCAAAAGGGACCCCAGATGCCGAGACGCCTCATCGACGACTCCTTCTGGCCATCTTCACAGTCGTTGCCGTCGTCGCCGGAAACAGGTCAGCAGCCGTGGCCTCCGTCCGCCTGGCCGAAGTTGCAGTTTGAAAGGCTGCTGGCGCCTCAGGAGGCAGGTGCGCGCCAGCGCGTTTAGACTTGTTCCGCTCAATTTTGCCTTCTAATAGACATCCCTACGCCTCCTTTCGCACAATAATATGCTAATATTTCCTTTCATCCTTTTCCTTTTCTCATTCCGGAGAGGCTTGGCAACTCTGGTCAGGGCGGGTGGGGTGGGGCACAAAAACGGCTGTTACCCACTTGGAATATGGTGGACCGACTAGAAGGTCGGCCTTCGAACCTTTTCACCACACACCTACCATCGAAATGGAAGTAGGCTAGACACTTATGGACCAGGAGGAGTCCAAATTGCCTTTGCATGTACTCGCGTAACCGAGTCTCGTCGGCTCGGCAGATGGTTCAAAGCAGATCGGGCGAGTTTCTTCGAATGACAGGACTCGTTTCGGCCAGACTTGACTTGCTACTGGCATACCACTCATTTCGTTTCAGAGGGCGGGTGGAAAAGACTCGTAAATTGGCCACACTGGTAGGGTTGACTTGGGTATTGGTGTTTTGGTGTGTTACCATAGCACTAAACCGATGGCTCCTTGCTGAGATCTCGTCCATCATGTGACCAACATATTTATAATCCATTATTAATATATAATCGCTGGAAACCACCAAATCAGGAAACGTGGACGTTTGAGATCCTATTCACTTCTGGTACCCTACTTTGCGATATTAATGAGACGTTCCATGATTTGAGGCATGACTCTCCGTCTCGAAGGGCTAATTTGGTTAGAGGGAATTCGTAATATGGTCTTACCGGAAGCCGGAGGAGGGCTGCCGCGTAGTTGAGACTGATGAATAGTGCGAAAAAGTCATCGGCTTATCGTCCTGCGTCCCCGTTGAATCTGTGCAGAGATTTCATCCGTACTGTGATGGACATCATCAGTGTGGGTATCCATACTTCACGAAAATATAACAAACCAAGAAAAAAGGTGGCCAGCCGCAACCCTAGTCGCTTTTTTATATGTCTATCATCGCGATCTTAATGAGGCCTGCCATGCTTGCAAATAAGTTATGTTTACTTCCCGGACCGGAAGTGCGTTTGGTTGTGGCTGTTTCCCTGCCTAAAATCATACGATCTTCCAATATTGAATCATGTTTGGGCTTGCGCCATTGTCTAGTGTGTATGTAATGCTAATGTCATGGAAAGTATGATGGTCCTAGCTAAACTCGAAGCTACTCCAGCCATTTTTACTTCCTCAGTCTCTCCCTTTCTTTGAGTTTATCCAACAGCCACAAAGTTACTACTTAGTTTTCTACACTCATTCCTCCTATTCAGCACGTTGGCTGTTTTATTAATTTTTATAGACTCCTTAGTCTTACGATTCGACGTGAAGTCCCCTTAACCAGCAACACGTAATGTAATGGACCAGTCTATGGAGTGTCCAGTTCGCATGAAAGTGAATGAAGAAGCGAATCGTTGGTCGATCTCACCAGATGTAGACGGATGAATCTCGTACTGCAGCCATTTGGCTTTTATACGATATTCACGTTGACTTCCTCCTTCGTTTCAGGTGAAAACGTGCTGAGCTATCGCCTATAATATGATGGACATCATCAGAGCTGAGTTTCATTCTTATAAGGGTATCACTTTAACACTATGCCAAGAACACTATACGGCTCTATCTTACTTTTTATATAGACTCAATCAAGCCAAAAATTAAAAATTAAAAACCTAGATAGATCGTTCTGTTCTTTTAGCTCGATTGTATGAGTATGTGTATTTTTGTGTGTTAGTGTCTATATCTCAGGTTTTGATCCTCAAGACCTAATGACCCAAGAGAAAGCCTTGACTGAGAATGCGTAGGTCCGTAAACAAGTATGGTTGAGATAATGAGATATGAGCTAGTAAGCATGAAAATCAAGTTACGAAACCATTTTTCCAAACTTTCAGTCTAGGGTCATTAGCATTTAACCCTCCAAGGAAAGGTAAGACATGTCAGATTACACAACCCTAGTCTTACCTTTATTTGGAGGGTTAAACCTTAATGACCTTAGACTGCAAGGTTAGGACAAATGGTTTCGTAACTTGACTTTCGATCTTTGACTAAATGTTCTCTTTGTCGGAGGGACTTTCATTTCGTATGCATGAAGAAGGGGTTCGTAGTTCGATCTCACCAGAAGATGACGGAAGAAGCCAAACGGCTGCAGTACAACGGGATTCACCCGTTCTCTTCTGGTGAGATCGACCTACGAATCTCTTATTCATGCACCTACATAAGAAATGAAAGTACCTCCAACAGAGAGAACATTTACTCAAAGATAGACAGACTGAGACCTGTTCCCGTGTAGCGTCATACCTTCTCTAAAAAAAGATAGGCGAATTAGTAAGAAAGTGAGAGATAAAAACGGTGTTTAAAGAAACCATCACACTTTTTTATGTAATGCCATCTTTTAAAGAGAAATATGACCCAAGGTTATTTGCTCATGTGGTCGATGTTATGTTGGTGAGAGATCCCGACCTATTCGACAAAGATTGGGAGAACACAAAAATGCTTGTAAAGGAAGCTGGGTCCAACGGTCAGAAGTGGCCGAACACATGGTAGAAACTGAACATGAAATAGAATGGTCTAAAACGAGTAGGTTTGCTGATTGTGGTACGTATGTCGTTAAAAGAAAGAAAGATGATAACTCTAATTTAGCACCGGTATTGTGTATAAACGCTGATACACTAACATACACACACGCACCCAGTCAATCAAAAGTAGCAGGACCAGTATGAAAGGTAATTAGCATAACTACTCTATATCGATCTATCTAGGTTTTTAATTTTCTTTTGGCTCAATTGAGTCTATATAAGAAGAAAGATAGAGCCGGATACTGTTATTAGCCTAGTGTTAATGTGATACTCTTATAAGAATAAAACCCAGCTCTGATGATGTCCATCATATGATAAGAAAAGTTGGGTTTCGAGGAATCTCTTGTTTCATAATTGTTGAGGCCAGATATAGAGTATATATAAAACTTGTTGTAGATGTTCCGGTGAATTTTTTTGACTCGTTAGCTTGAATTTTGTTGTGACGATGATGTTCGTCATATGACGGACGAAAGCTTAGCACTTTTTCACCGGAATCGAAGAAGATTATCTCGGAAACAGCATCAGCATGAATCTTCCAGTAAAGCCAATCGACAGCTGGTCAAGAGGAATCCGCCATCGTCTTCTGATGGAATCTACCTTCGAAACTCTTCACCCAACACCTTCACTCGAAATGGAAGTAAGCTTAATAACATCATATGATGGACGAAAGCTCAGCACGTTTTCACCCAAAATGAAGGAGGAAGTCTTGTGGACTGCGTAAACATGAATATCATATAAAAGCCAAACGGCTGCAGTAAAACAAGATTCATCCGTCCTCATCTGGTGAGATCGACCAACGAATCTCTTCTTCATTCACTTTCATACTAACTAAAAGTCCCCCCTAACAAGATTATCTAAAGAGATTCATTGAAACCCAGATTCTTTTCATATCTACAATGTCCTGTATTGGCCTGTGGTTCAGCGAGCTCAGATTTTTAGACCCAAGTGGTTCTGCATAGCAGTTGCAACCAGACGCACATTCGGTTATAGAACTAACTTCATTCTTCTCAAAACATGGAGAGTAAATTGAAGATGTGAAGACCAAGATGTTGTGGCCTCGGGTATGGTCGCAGTCTCCTTTCGACTTATA